GTGTTGTAAGATTCTGGCTCTGTTACTCTGTTCGTTGTTTCTCCATGTTGCTGTACCTACGGAACACTCTTGGAGAGAAGAGGTGCAGAGATACACCAGGCTACCTGGAAGAGACCTTGGGGAGCGATAGAGTCTGGGGCTGTGTTCAAGTAAAACAGTACAGTAAAGTAGGTTCATTGGGCCGATCTTGGCGCAAAGCGTAATGTAGCCAAGCACTAATTCAGCTGTGTGTTGACGGGAAAAGTTAGATTGTTTCTATCTAATTATTGTTTTACGTATGCCTTTAATTTATATGCTTAAAAAGTGCCTCTGTGTTTTTTCAGTATGGCTGGGATAATGGTGATAAAGGTTATGCAGAGAAATTCTGGGAATCCAGATGACTCTGTGCAGTCCCTGTGAATTCTCTAGGGACGTGTAAATTGAATTGGCTGAGCAGGGAACAGAATGTGTTGTAAACTCACATGTTACGCAGAGGAAGCATAGGGAGCCTTTCTGTACCCTCCTTTGACTTACTAAATTGCGCTCTTGTGGTAGCGTGTAGGTATGGGCTGTTAGAACTGCAGTAGCCTGTGGTTTGTATCGAAGGCCTTCTCTCCTGCCCTGGTGTTGAACTTCAGGTTGGTTTGGAGAGAACAGAGTGTTACTGCTTCTCTGGCGGCTGCCAGCTGGTTCCATGGGTTAGTGGTGGATACTTCAGGCTGGAATGTGAAGGCCATTCCCAGTTTTCATTTTTTCTGACTCAGGGCAGATTGTTTCTTCCAGTGACTCACTTGCTGTAGCTGCCCATGGTTCCATTTTACCTTTGTCATCATCATCGTCACTGCCACCACCACGTGTTATATATCACGTGGTTAGTAGTTAAGTGCCTGGGGCCTGGAGACAGACTATGGGAGTTCCTGTCTGCACTTTGCCCGTTTCCAGCTGCCTCACTGTGATCAAATGACCACGCTTCCTAAACTCTTAGTTTTCTCCTTTCTGGGACGGGAACAATCAGATTGTGTGAACACTGCATTGCTGTAGGACGCCTGGCCTGCTGTCAGATACAGAGCAGTGATTTTGTCATCACCATTGTTATTCAGTTACTGTATCTGTTGAAATTGTGTTTTTTTCTTTTTCTTTTCTTTTTTTTTTTTTTCTGGTGTTTTGAGACAGCGTCTCACTATGTAGTTGAGACTGACCTGGAACTCACTGTGTAGCCCAGGTTGGTCTTGAACTCGAAGCGATCCTCCTGCCTCAGCCTCCTGAGTACTGGGATTACAGGCGTGCCTGACCACGCCCAGCTGAAATTGTTTCTTAATGACTCTGAGATAGACCCTAATAAGATAAATACACGTAAATTCTATCTCTAGAAACATATAAGAGAATAGATATGCATTGGCATGGATATTTAGCAGATTTCATGTTCATTATTCTCCAGAAACTGGAGTGTAGCTACATCAAAGAACACAAAGCCAAAGGGCTAAAACACTTTAAAGTGGTCAAATCTTAGAATATTCTAGCTAAGCAGGACAGCTAATCTTAGCTTAAGATACATGTGCTGCTGAGAAAGTGCATGGAATACTTTAGTCTTCCTGGGAGCCATCCTGCAGACATGACTTCATGACTTTTTCCCTTTGAGTTGATCCTCGGGAGTTGGGTTTTGTCCTGCGGAGATGGCGCTCTTGAGAGACATGCCTCAAAGCATGTGTGGTCACTGCTCATCGTAAGACAAAGCCGCCATCACAGAGACCTTTACTTTCAGGACAGTGCTCTGACCTCTGAACCTCAGCCTTGTGGAAAATGTGATCTATGTAAGAGACATTGCCTGCAGCAGACTAACCGTGTCTGGAGGGAGACTTTGCTTCTGCCGGTGTGGAAGGTGTTTATAAACCCTGACGCCAACCACTGGCACGCTTGATAATTGTGTGCACTTGCTACCACCTGGGTAGTTCGTACAAGGAGATTAGAATATCCCTGTGGTGGCTAGAATAGTATGTCACTTACTATTCTGTGTTCTTGGCCGAACTGTAGGCTTCAGGTTCCGTATCTGTAAAGTAGGAATAACACTAGATTTAGACCATGTGGCGTTACCAGTGTTAGCTACTGTCCTGTGTGGCACTTGGTAAGTGCTCAGCAAACAAAGGCAATCACACTTAGTGCTGTTGCCACGCCACCCTCTGGCCTCTGATGGCAAGGCCTTCCACGTTGGGTCATGTCATCCTGCCAAGCATGGCTTATTAGCCTCACTTCAGGAGTCACTCTCTTTGACTCATTTACTCAAACCAGACAGAGATTAGTGGCCCAGCCCTCAAGGATTGGGCAGTACACATTTCTGGCACCTTTGGTTCATTGATTATGGGAATTGAATTCAGGGAATGCTTGGGTGTTCTGGGCAGGGGCCTCCTGAGACCCAGGAAACCTTGAAAGAAAGTAATTGGGCATGAACAAACCTCCTAAGTAAAAAGGGTTCAGAGCTTTGTGTTTTACTAGTCTTTCTAGATTGCTGCCATTATAAATAGGAACAAGTATCTGTTGGATAAAATGTTTGAATTTAATGGGAGAATTGAACTGATTAAGGATGGCTGAAAAAAAATTCTTGCCCAAATAGGATGTTTTCCCTTGTACATTTTCACCCAACTTTCCAGTGTCATTCAGTGCCAGTCCTTGTGGATTGTTGGTCCCACAAGGCACAAGACACTGTAGGATAGGCCACTGCTCCCTTGCCTTGTCCTGCTCTCTTACCGTTTGTTCTCTGCCTTGCCCTGATTGCCAGTCACATTGACCTTCCTCCCTCCGAAAGGCCCTGCTTTTTCCGTCTCAAGGACCTGCTGGCACTAGCCCGAGGGAGTCTCTTATCACTCCCGTCTCCTGCAAACTTCATCTCTTCAGAGAAGCTTTCTCCCACGTCACACACACAGTGCCCGCTTTTTTTTTGTTTCTGTTGTACTTATCAGTATTTGAAGGTATCATATTTGTACAGTTTATTTCTGTTTTCTTCACTAATGGGAACGTTTCTTGAGGTAGAGATCGTAGCTGTTTTATGAACCCATATCTTCAGTACCTGCCTAGTTATTACAGGCACTCAGTAAATATTTTAAAATATATGCACAAATAAACAAATACATTTCAAGTAACATTAGGAGTGACCCATTCAAGAGGTCTTCAAATTTTTTGTTTTGTTTTTGTTTTTTTTGAAACAGGGGATCACTATGTAGTTAAGGCTGACCTGGAACTCATTATGTAGGCCAGGCTGGTCTCGAACTCACAGCGATCCTCCTGCCTCAGCCTCCGGAGTGCTGGGATTACCCATGTGCACCACCACGCCCAGCCGTCTTCAAACTTTTTCAAGGCAGTATCCCTTTGTTTGATAACCACACGAGTAAAACCCATAGAAGTAAAGGAAGAGGACCTTCTCCCAGCCTCTTTGACAGTCCTATTGCAGGGGCCAGAATCAAAGTCTTTAGAACTTTAAGTGCATGCCCTAATGCCTATTTATTCTTCAGAATATCCTTGTTAAGATTAAACACCCATTTCTTTAATCCTCATCTTTCTGACCTTCAGTGAGTGCAGCTTCAGTATTCTTTAGGAAGAGAAGAATATATTAATAAACAGTTATTTTCTGTATTTAAAGTTTGAGATTTCAAAGACGTCCTTGGAAACTACTTCAGTTTATAGAGAGAGTAGGCAGTAAAGGCTGAGGGAGTGCAGGAGACTTAGCCAGTGACACGAGGCAGCTGCAGGCAGAGTTGGACCGTTGCCTGGCTCCTGCCCAGTCATTTCCATCCATGTGTCTTGGTAGGGAAAATGTCATTTTGGGCTTATCGACTCTTTTCAGAGGTGCTTTGTTTGTTTCCTTCAGAGGTTAAGTGGCTTTTAACTGAGAGCGGCCATCAGAATCACCTTGGGGTAGATAGAAGCTGAAACTTAAGTGCATGCCTCCCTGGGCTGTTTGTATCATTGAATATCAGGGACAGGCAAAGTGTGGCCCGCAGAACAAGTCCAGCCCCCGCTTGCATCCGTGTTGTTCATGAGCCATGTGTGGTACTTAAGGATGAGCATCTGCAATTGACTGATTATAGGGAATACTCTGAGCCTCATTTGAGCTAAATACTAACCTCCCTCTAAACAAACAGCAAAGTATTCATCTCATTCGTAGACTTGTATTTCAAAGAGTTACACTCAGTTATTGTATTTAGAATTTGTCAAAAATCCTGTGCAAATTTATTTTCTCATATTATATAACAACTTGTGCAATATTGTTTTGCCTCTTGGCCCTCAAAGCCTAAAATATTTACTCTCTGGCCCGTAACAGGAAAGCTTGCTGGCCCTTGCAGCGAGCGTATCAGTCTCTATTTTATATTTATGTGCTTTTCCTTTTACTGTATTTGGCCACTTTATCTTTTTATGATTTCCATAAATCACTTAAGGTTTTTTTTATTGTAAATATAATATATTCTACTCATAACATTCAAATTTACTAAGGTATCTAGAGTAAAAAGTGGCTGGTGTCATTCCCTGCTGTTAAGACTCAACAGTTTACAATGTACCCTTGCCCTGACTGTGTAGCTGTGAGACCTCAGTTAACTTCTCTAAGCCTCAGATTCTCCAGCTGTAAAACAGTGATAATAACAGCTCGTACCAAGAAGAATTGTTGTGTAGATTATGTGAATTTGTGTGAATTGCTTAGCCACTTTGCTTTTGCACAGTTAATGCTTAATGGTTTGTAACTAATTCCAAAATTCTCTCCGTTTTATTTGCATATACACACAAGTTTGCGTTCGTGGAAAAAGATGGAATATAATTTTTTTGCAGTAAAGTTTCATAGGTGATGGGAGCACATTTAAGAACAGCTGAAGGACATACTAGGAAGTAGGTAATTAATGAGATGGTTCATACCGACAGAATTTTAACTACCACCTCATGGTACAAACTAAGGAAAGGGGGAAGGTCATGGTTTTCTACAGTTAACCTGTAGGGTGGTATAAAATGCATTCAAATGTTATTTTATTTCTGTTTTCCAGGTCTACAACTCGAACAAAGACAATCAGAATGAAGGGAGTAAGTATGATGCTTGGGTTCTTTTCTGCAGCCGGAGTGGGGAGTGGGCTTTGAGAAATTGCTACTTCAGAGTTTCACCACCAGGAGGTGCTGTGGGCATGTTGCTAAGTGTAGCGTGAGCCGCTTGCTTCCACCCTTTCTGTCACAGACTTCAGAGGGCCAGTCACCGAGCATGACTGCAAGATTGTAAGGACACCTTGCCCTTTAGCTGTGGGAAAGCCAGAGTTGCCCTGGCTTCCTGCTAGGACTGGAGAGGCAGCAAGTGTCTTAGATGACTGCTTACTAACTGTTTTTGGAGTAGAAAGAGTAGAGATGGTGAATACAGCACTATTCCTCCTTGGTGAAAGTGCCCCCGAGTAGCCTTCTTAGAATACATAGCACATTTTCCCTGACACAGGCTCAGAGCCCTCCAGTTAATCATAATATCCAAGGGCACCCGTGACCTTGTAAAGGTGACAGGATTAAAATCAAACTGCTAGTGGTAAAGTGTTTGGACTGATTATCTCCTTGGCGCATATGAGGAAAACAAAACAAAACAAAACAAAAACAAATTCCTTCCAGGCTGCTACTAAAGTACAAAGGAAATCCTGTCCCCTGGCCTCAGACTCGCTTTGTAAAATCTACTTGGAAAAAAAACCAAAGGTGTCCCTAGGATGAATTTCAGCAATATCAGGAAAGTCAGTAGAACAGTGCCGCTCCAGATGAACAAAATAATAACCTAGCTCCCTGTCCCTGTCCCTGTCCCTGTCCCTCTCCTTCTCCTTCCTTCCTCCCTCCGTCTCTCTCTCTCTCTCTCTCTCCCTTTCTTTTTTGAAAGCCATTATGGAGCAGAATTTTTCCTCTCATTTTCTCTAAAATACAAATGTTACCAGGTGTTTCACGGAGTATAAAATGTTACATAGTTTGGGATTGCTGCTGTTGAAAGAATAGAAGGCTTTTGTGACTAGAAACAATTCTTTTTGTCTCCTCAAAAATTGAAGCGGGGGCAGGATTTAGCTCAGTGGAGCTGCCACCCGCCTCATAAGCGCAAGGTCCCGAGTTCCATCCCTGGTACCCCCCCAAAAAAAAATTGAAGGAGGAAAATAATTTTAAGCATATATTAACAAAGAAGCAATCCCCCCACCCCAAATCAGGTAGGATTGTCTTAGAGCATCTGCATTCAGCTCAGGCCAACTTAGGTAGAAGAAGTGTACAATAGTGAAGAAACGGAGGAGGCTGCAGCATACCCATAGTAAGGTGAGGAGCTGAAGAAAAGTGGACCAGCTCTAGGACCCGGGAGCCAGGACCCAAGGAAAAGGGTCTTGTGGGTAATATTTGCAGGGTGCATTGGTGATCTTTCCCTTACTTGTCAGAGGATTTCTATCCCCAGGAAACTTGCCATCAAGTTGATACAGCTTGGGCCCACTCAGGGAAAATGACTCCCCTCGATTGACAGCTCCAAGAGTCTGGAGCAGAGTTTTTTTCTAGAGGGAAACCTGGGAAGTCATGAAGATGAGAGCAATGGATGCCAAGCACGGTAGACAGATGCCCACACCAGGCCTCATCCTATAACACAGGGTCCAGGAGCAATGGGGAACGATGTGTCCATGTGAATGGACCCCAGGGGCCTGACGTTCACCTGGAAGCTTTTACTTTGCTGCTGTAACTTTTGCTTCTCCCTGCTTGTGTGCCCATAGGTTTGAAAGGATTTTTTTGGTTGGTTCTATTGCTTCTTCTTTTCTTTTTCTTTTTGAGATTCATCCACAATGCTGCAAGTAGTTTCTTTAATCTCATTACTGTGCAGGATTTGTTTTACGAGTTTACCACTAAATGGATGCACATTGAGGCAATGCCCAAGTGAAATAAATAGGACACATCTGTAAATACCAAATGGGTTCTCTGGTGTGAGAAACTGAATGTGTAAATAAGGATCAAAAGGCATAACAGGTAATATGAAATAGAAGGAAAAGTTCAAAGGGGAAGGGGAAGTGAGAGGGGTTGGGGAAAGGAAAGAAAGGAATTAGTATGAGAAAAGCAGAAAATTGAAATAAAGTCTTGTGTCATTTCTGTAAGGAATTTTTTGGAATACGTTTTGGATACCTTTAAAAAGGGATTATCTTCTGACCCAACAATTTGTCCCAAGTACAAAGTGTTTGTGCAATAGAGAAGTTAATTGGGATATTGGTAAAAATAGGAAAGAACTAGAGATAATGTAAATATCCAGTAGGGAGCAGGTTCGATAAATTATGGGATAGTATGCAACCTGTAAAAAGAACAAGGGAAATATTAATATATTTCAAAAATGGCACTCCAGTATGCTAATTGGGTTTTTAAAAAAGTAGGCAATAGAGCAGTGTTACAGTAAACAATGTTCTGATTCCTCTTAGGTATTTGATGGGAAACAGTCAAGATTATATCATCAGTGAAGGATGGTTTATTGGAAGCCATTGACCTTCTACTTTAAATATTTCTGTGTAGTATGCATTATCTACCATTAATGCATTTTATAGTTATAGCTATCAAGAGCATTAAATGACCATTTGCTGTGTATAAGGCACTAGGCCTGCATTACATACATTCGTGTATTTACTGCTTGCAGCATTCTGTGCGGTGGGTATTTGACCTGTGTCGTAGATGAGGAAGTAGAGGCTCGTAAACTCAAGGGACACAATTCAGTCTAAACTTTGTGTGGTCCTGAAGGCTGTCCGGTCGAACACAAGGATACTCTATGTTCCCTAAGAAAAGAGTAATATCAAAGGTTCCATTTTGGAGAAATACAGAATTTTCTTCTGGCATCCTGTTATGTACAGAGTGGGATTTGCTTGACTTGTGTGTCTAATCATCATTCAAATCATCTAGTGAGCGGGAGAGAAAAAGATGAAGGAATAGAAGTTCGCCACTTACTCAACAGGGGTTTCGGTGGGGCCTATTTTTGTAGGCTGTTATTGATTTCCAGACTGGCAAACCCATAGTAGAGATGTGGGTTCGTGTGCCTTGCTTTTTTGGCATTAGGACCCCTCTTCCGCATGATACAGTTCCTTCCTTTCCCCTCTCCCAAGCTGCACTTGTAGCATCTCTGCTTGGTAGGGATTTGCAGCTTCACCCCACACCCACCCACAGGACTCATCTTCCACAGGTGGGTTATTGCCCGCGGCCTTCCTTGTCTGTAACCCTCTTTCTGTTTATGCCACAGTCTGAACTCTTTTAAAGGTAAGAAAACAATCTGATTATGAATTTAAGGGTAAGGAATTTGCTGCTTTCGCAAAATTACGCATACCGAGGGTCCAAACCCCAGGTATCTAGTATTTCTACAAAATGCTTTTTTGGAAAATATTTTGGTGAGAGTTTGAATGCAAACATTTTGTCACACAGCTAGGATGTTTTGAAGGGGCACACAGCAAGAGGAAATTCCCTTGGAGACACTCCTCCTGCATTTGTTGCTTTTATCTTGGAGGTTCAGGGTACACATCATCTGTGGGGTATAAGACGGGGTCATAAATAGTGTTTGTCAGCTGCTAGTATTTTTTTTAAAGTTTTAGTTGTCAGGGAGAGGATTGTCACAGATAAATGCATGCACATTTCTTTTCAGAGCCTTTCTCTCTACTTTTTTTCTTTGTTTTCTGTTTGGTCTCAGGTATAGAGGGTTGAATTAATCATGCTTCCCTGTTGATGGTACATTGTCATCCCAGGCCCCTTAATTCATTCATTCTTTCATGTCATATCATTTTATTCATTTGTTCCTTTAAAAATTAATTTCCAAAGCTCAAGGACCGGAGTTTGATCCCTGGTACCAAAAAAAAAAAAAAAAAAAAAATAGTAATAATTTCCGTACTTGCATTACTCTTCTTCCTTTAGGCCTCCATTCTAGTGTACTTTTAAAATTCATCCTTGAAAAATTTGTGTCTTTTACCTGCCTATGTTTTTAGGTTATATGCGTGGCTGTGTGTTCTGATCTTTCTTTGTGCTCTCAGCGTCATGTTAGGAGCTGTCCGTGTTGCTCTGTATAGCTCCGGATTGTGACATCTGCCTGATGTCTAGTCCACGGTGTACCTGTTTTTGCAGAGGTGAACTCCGGTTCCTCATCACCACTGTCAGCACCACAGTGAACGTCTCTGTGCATGTCCTCCCGCAGGAGAAGTTCATTGGGTTGCACTCACCAGGGAACTGCCGGTTAAGTCGCTGATTTTAGGCTTCATTTAAACGCTGTCATGTTGTTCTTCCGCGTGGACAGTCCGCGGGCCCAGCACCCCACGGGTCGGTGCCTCCTTTCTTACCACCCCTCCTTTGGTCAGCCTTCTAATTTTTGAATAACTACAAAATGATAAATCTGATAAATATAAAATGATAGCTCCTTGTTTCAGTTTGTGTTTCTCTGGTAAATTATGAGTTTGAGGTTGTTCCCTGGGTTTGTCCTTTCATTTATTGCCTATTCCGGTCCCTTGCTCATTTTCCACATCAGTTGACATCTTTTTTTGTAGAATTGCAAAATTCTTTCTATCATAATATGAATCCCTTCTTTGTTTTAGAGATTTCATGTATGTATGTATGTATGTATGCATGTATGTGTATGTATATATATACACACACACACGTTTTCATCTATTAAGATTATATGTAGTGTCCTTGTTTGTCTATAAGACTGCATTTTTGTATATTTACATCTTCTTTCTTGCTTGCTTTACAGTTTATAATTTTCAAGTTGTTTTTCAAAGAAGGCCTTTTGACTCAAATCACAAAGATGGGCATCTACATTTATCCTTTATATTTAGGTTTTTGATTGTACTGTATGTGATGTTTCATGAAGACCCAATCCTACATTTATCCATAGAAAGAGTCAATTTTCCACTGACTTCTACTGAACTCTCCATTCTTTCCACATTATTGATGGGGCCAGCTCTTTTATGTTAGATTTGTATTCTGAGTTCTCACTTTGAGCTTTTTATTTTCTTGGTCTGTTTAACTGTTATGATGACATTGAATCAAATCTTAGTGTCTGGTAATTTAAGACCCTCTTTTTGCTC